AGTAGCTGGGAGTAAGGCGCCCGCCACCACACCTGGCTAATTTTTTTGTATTTTTAGTAGAGACGAGGTTTCACCGTATTAGCCAGGATGGTCTCGATCTCCTGACCTCGTGATCCACCCGCCTCGGCCTCCCAAAGTGCTGGGATTCCAGGCGCCGCCCAGTATCTTTTCAACACCTGCCGAGATCTCTGCATCGTGGCTTCAATGGCTGCAGCGTAGTGTTCCTCCCATGGAATGCTCCATCCCCAGGCGAGTCATGAGGGTCATCAGTGCCTGAGAGCCCGAGCGCCTAGGGCTGGCGTAGGGTGGGGTTATTCCACCCTCTGGGCCTCGGTCCCCTCCCTGGGATGCCAGATGGGGCTTGGTGGGTAGGAAGGACTAAGACCTCCCCTCTCAGCCTGGCCTCTCGCTGGGCAGACACAGAACCGAGGCAAGAGGATGAAGGAGGGCGCGCACATCAACCACTTGCTGCTGGCCCTGGGCAACTGCGCCAACGCGCTCAGCGAGAAGGGCAGCAGCCGGGCGCAATACGTGAACTTCCGGGACAGCAAGCTCATGCGCCTGCTGAAGGTGGGTGCTGCGGGTCCCGGAGGCTGGGCGTGGGCCCTGCACTTTCAGGAGATACCAGCCAGGGGAGAGGCCAGACCTGGATGAGGGCCAGAAAACACGGTAGATGCCATCTCTAGTCACTGCCTCACTCCCCTGAAAGTATGGTCCTGCTTGTGCTTGCATACCCCTGGTGACAGGGAGCTCACCACCCATCCGCAGCTGCCTCCCCATCATGGAGGGCTCTGACTGTGAGAAAACTCCCCTTTATTCTGAGTTGAATGGCGGCACCTCCATTCCATAGCAAGGTGGGGTATGAATTAACACATAGGTAAAACACTAGACCAGGTGCAGTGGCTCACACCTGTAATCCTAACACTTTGGGAGGCCAAGGTGGGTGGATCATCTGAGGTCAGGAGTTTGAGACCAGCTTGGCCAACATGGGGATATCCTGTCTCTACTAAAAATACAAAAAATTAGTCAGGCATGGGATTATGTACCTGTAATCCCAGCTACTCTGGAGGCTGAGGAAGGGGAATCGCCTGAAACCAGGAGACAGAGGTTGCAGTGAGCTGAGATGGCACTACTGCACTCCAGCCTGGGTGACAGAGTGAGAGTCCATCTCAAAAACAAACAAACAACAACAACAACAAAACGGTAAATAAATGTTTCTGTAAACTTGACCCCTTGGTCCAATCTGCTTTCGTCAGAGCTGAAGTCAGACAGGGTGAGCCTGGAACGGGTCCCACTTCATCCTCACGGTCACCTCCCTGAGGGCTGAACCCTGGGTTCTGGCAGCAGCTGCCCTTTCCAGGGCTTGGAGCTGGAATCTCAGATGTCCTGGTGACAGCTGGGGCAGGGCCAGCGCCCCTGGGCAGGCGGGGCCCTGAGGCTCCCCTAACCCCCACTTGGCGGTTTCCCCCTGAACAGGATGCCCTGGGCTGGAATAGCTGCACGGTGCTGATTGCCCACATCAGTCCAGCCAGCACCTACTTTGAGGAGTCTCGGACCACAATGCTGTACACCCACAGGGCCAAGAACATCAAGACCAGGGTAAGGCGCGGGTGTTTGGACTTCAGATTTCTAAGTGTGCAGTCAGTGGCATTAAGTACATTCACGTCTTTGTGCAACCATTACCACCACCAATTTCTAGAACTTTCTCGTCCTCACAAACTGAACCACGCTTTTTTTTTTTTTTTGGAGACAGGGTCTGGCTCTGTCATCCAAGCTGGAGTGCAGTGACACCATCACGGCTCACTGCAGCCTTGACCTCCTGGGGCTCAAGCCATCCTCTCGCTTCAGCCTCCCAAGCAGCTGGGACTACAGGTGCACATCACCATGCCCAGCTAATTTTTCAATGTTTTGTGGAGACAGGATCTCCCTGTGTTGCTCAGGCTGGTCTTGAACTGCTGGGCTCAAGTGATCCTCCTGTCTCAGCCTCCCAAAATGCTGGGATTACAGGTGGTGAGCCACTGTGCCCAACCTCTGCACCCAGTAAACCATAACTCCTCACACCCCTCCCCAGCCACTGGTACCCTGCATTCTACCTTCCATCTCTATGAATTTGAGGACTTGAGGTACATCTGCTTTCGTCAGAGCTGAAGTCAGACAGGGTGAGCCTGGAACGGGTCCCACTTCATCCTCACGGTCACCTCCCTGAGGGCTGAACCCTGGGTTCTGGCAGCAGCTGCCCTTTCCAGGGCTTGGAGCTGGAATCTCAGATGTCCTGGTGACAGCTGGGGCAGGGCCAGCGCCCCTGGGCAGGCGGGGCCCTGAGGCTCCCCTAACCCCCACTTGGCGGTTTCCCCCTGAACAGGATGCCCTGGGCTGGAATAGCTGCAC